CGCCACTGCGGATGTGCTGGCCGTGCCCGTGAAGGTGACCGACAGGTTCGGGATCTGGACCGGGGAGTACAAGTGTGAGATCGAGCTGCGCCAGGGCGAGGGCGGCGTCCGGCACCTGCGGGGGGCCTTCTTTCTGGGGGCCGAGCGGGGCTACAGCTGGTACAAGGGGCAGCCCAAGACGTGCTTTAAATGTGGTTCCCGGACCCACCTGAGCGGCAGCTGCACGCAGGACAGGTGCTTCAGGTGCGGGGAGGAGGGGCACCTGAGCCCTTACTGCCGAAAGGGCATCGTGTGCAACCTCTGTGGCAAGCGGGGGCACGCCTTCGCCCAGTGCCCCAAAGCGGTTCACAATTCCGTGGCACCTCCGCTGCCCGGGGTGGCCGGGCACTGAGCACCCGCCCGCCTGCCTGCCTGCCTGCCTGCCTGCCAGGGTGAAGACAGAGCCAGTTTACCCCTCTTAAGTGCCAAAACCTTTTTTGAAACCATTTTCTATCGTGTTTGAAAGAGATCTTTTTAAACAAGAGATGTCTCTCTCTCTGCCTTCTTAAGCCGAGTGTACTCCATTTCAGCCTTTTCTGAATTGGTGACTCTCATCAGTCGTGACTACCGACAACTGTTAGTGTGCAGTTATGTCGCCAGTCCCTCTGTTGAATTTTGTTTTCGTTTTTTGTAATTGGGGGACAGGGGGTGGTTTGTACTTGTTACTCCCCATGTCTTGTCTTCTCCCCCGAATTTTCACCCTTTGGGCTGCCTTGCTCATCTTGATGTCCTAGCACTTAAGTACAGGGCCCAGCACGTGGTAGACACTGCGCTCCATCAGTGTTTGTTGACTTGAAAACGTTGTTGACTGTGACTTCTGTCAGGATGTCCAGCTTGTGCAGCTCTTTCCCTCCCCCTTATCATTTGCTGCTTCTAATCTGTGTGGTCTGAGAATTTGTGAAACCAGTGTTGTTAGAAGTGTATGTAATCTGAGTCAATAAGCTCTGCATGGTGGCCAAGGGCCTCTCTTATGGCATTAAAATCCATGGACTTTGTGACAGCTCTTTCGGTGGCTTAGAAGAGCCACACAATTATGGAATCTAGAATTGTCCTGTTGGAAAGAACCTAGAAGTTGGTTTACACCAATCCCCTGGTTTTCCAACAGTGAAACAGGCCCAGAGAGGTTAAATGACTGGGTCATAATCACATAGCTGTCTGGTGCCCGAGCCAGCCTAGAGTTCCCTGACCCCAAGGCCAGTGCTCATTCCACTACCTCTCACACTTCACAACATTTTCCTCAACACTTGAGGGCCCGGAAAGCCTGATCTCTCCAGAATAATGTGCCATCTGGGCCAGAAAGCAGAAAAAGAAGATTTCGCAGGGGCTTCTGAATACTTGGGAGACAGAGAAGGGATAAAAGAACATAATCCAGGGTGCACTTGTTCCCTGGGATATCACACCTGGATTACAGTGTGCCTGGTCCTTTGGGGGCCTTTCCCTTCCCCATTCGTTGCCACCATGAGAAATGGGGGTGCTCCCGAGTAAGGAAACCTAGTAAAGGTTTACATTTGCACCTTAGTCTCAATAGTTAGACACCCCAGAGAAGCAGCTCATGGAGTTCATCTGCAAACTCCTGACTCTCAGGAGAAAGGCTGTTTTAACCCAGAATTGTAAGTGAGTTGTTAACTCTAAAATGTACTTGTGAAATAGGCCATGCGAGAGAGCATTGGGTCAACTGTTATCAAGTTAAAGGAGAATAGACAATACACTACTTTGGGTTTTTGTCTTCCCTTTGCATTCAGTTTTGCTATTTCCTTGTGGCTTGGAATGTAAAATCCATTGTTAAAAAAGTTTTGTTCTGAATAAATATTTATCTTTTGTATTGCTAATTCTGCTGCACTATTTCCTTTCAAAGTATTAGATGCATGGGTACACAGACCCTAGTTCAACGTGCTTCCTCCTACACACCACTTGTTTACCCTGCAAATACCGTTCCAGCCCCTGCAGGCCAGCACTTGGCACCTACCCTGTGGAACCACCCTTTGGAGTTGCTCCCTAAACCCAGTGTGCTAATCACTTAACTCAAGTTTGAAGTCCCTAACTCAGCTCCAAAGAATCAGAATCACTGGAGTGAGGGGAAGCATTTTCAGCAAGCACCCCAGGCAGTTCTGGTGAGTGGGCAGTTTTGAGATCACAGTTCCGAATGGTACTAAAGTGAGTGAGAGGGACTCTGTCCTTGAGAAATTACAAACTAGTGGGAAGGACAGGGAAGATGTCAGTTTCGTCATCTTACAGTTGTGAGTGCCAGGAATTGGATGCAAAGTATTCATGGGCTTTTTAAAAAATGCCATCTCGTCTAGCTGTGAGGGAGGAAGAGAGAGTCCAAGGACTCTTGTGCAGAGAGCTGACTCAGACCTCCAAACTGATCTAATCCTGGAGATTCCCTCCCCTAACCCCAGCCCCAAACCTCTGAAGGACTTTTCAGCTCTGAGATGTTATGTTCCTAAGAAAGTTCCCAGTGCATTGATTCTCTGAGTCAGTGCTTTCAGATATTTCCAGAGCTGATCTGGTGTAGTTGGGGCCTGGTTGGCTCTGGGGAACCCTTTTTTTCAGAGCCAGCTCAGCCCCTCTCCTTCCTGTCTCCCAAAGCAAACAGACCCTTCCCTCCTGGATTCCTCCCTCTTGTTCTCTCCCTCCCCCTCATCTTTCTCTTCTCTGCCTTGCATTCTCCTCCCTCCCAGCGCTTGGAGGCCAGTGGGCAGGAGAAAGCCTGCATTCATCATGCTCCCCTCCCCCTTCTTCCTGGCGGGCACTGTGCCAAGGAGCCTCTTAGGAAGGATCTTCCCTCTCCCCGCCCCTCCCTACAACTCTCCTGGAGGGAGCGGAGGAAGAAACTTTCCCTGCCCATCCCCCACAGAATCCGCTCCACGGCCTCCTGCCTCGCGTTCTGGGGACTGAGCCAAGGGCTGGAGCGGAACAAACCTCCCCCAGCTTCCTCTCCCCATCTAGCAGCCCCCAAATTACAATTCCTCACTGTTCATGGGCTCCAGGGGAGTGTGCTGAGATCCCTAGACTGAGGCTGGCGGACTCGCTGCCAGGCCCCGTGCAGGGCGCTGCTCTGCACATACCCATGAACAAGACCGTGCACTTGCAGGAGATACAGATAAGTAACAAGCAATTTTAAAAATAATAAGTGCTTTTAAATACTCGGGGGGAAAAGTACAAAACGTACAGAATTGTGTGAAGTACAAGTTTCCTAGCAGAGATGATGTCGCCTCTAAAACCTGCAGGATGAATAAGAGCCAAGTAAGGAGGGAAGAGATATCCAAGCACAGAAACAGCCTGTGCAGAGACCAGGAACACACAGCATGTTCAGTCTGGAAAGTCAGAGAAGATGTGGTTGGAAAAATGCCAAGAGGAGGTGGCACGTCGCTTGTCAGTGCTGTTTAAGAGGTTTGATTTTGTCTTAACGGCCTGTAGTCTGGCCACCTCCATTCCATTCATTCATTCAACATGTTATGTTAGGCACTAACTCTTTCTAAGCAATGGAATAAAACAAAATAGTCAAGTCCCCTGGGGCTCAAATTCCAGAATCACACAAATAGGTACATTAATTACCAACTATGATAAAGCATTCAAAGAAACATGCAGGGATATCGTGTTTAACAAGGAAAACTGATCTGGTCTTAGGGGCCAGGGATAGCAACCCAGAGGACATGTTTGAACTGAGATTGAAAGGATATATAAGGAGTTCATTGAGAGATGGGGTGAGGGTAAAGGGATGACGGGTATTAGCCTAGGCAAAGGGGATAACAAGTATAACGACCCAATGCAGTAGTTCTCAACCTTCCTAATGCCGCGACCCTTTAATACAGTTCCTCATGTTGTGGTGACCCCCAACCATAAAATTATTTTCGTTGCTACTTCATAACTGTACTTTTGCTACTGTTATGAATCGTAATGTAAATATCTGATATGCAGGATGTATTTTCATTGTTAAAAATTGAACATAATTAAAGCATAGTGATTAATCACAAAAACAATATGTGATTATATATGTGTTTTCCGATGGTCTTAGGCGACCCCTGTGAAAGGGTCGTTCGACCCCTAAAGGGGCCGCGACCCACAGGTTGAGAACCGCTGCTATAATGGGAGGAGCCCTGGCCAAATCCAGAAATCAAGTGGAGTCCAGGTTTAGAAACAGAAACCATTGTAGTTAGTGAAGAAAGTGATGGGCCCTCGGCTGAGGATTAGGAATGACTTCTAGAACACCATAGAAACGGACCTGCCAGGGAAGCTACTACCTCTCTCATCGTCAGAAAGGAACCAGGAGCTCACCACTGCAAAGGCTGAGTTTGAGAACACACCGCTGAACCTGCCACCCAAGGACAGGATGCTAGGATCAGAAACCTACTGGCAGGACAGTGACATGTCAAGTTCTTGAAGCCAGGGACCATAAGCTGGTGTTTCCACAAGCTTACAAGCAAAAATAGCCAAAACTGTGACTTCTGCCTTCCTTCCACCTTCCAAATCTCATGCAAGTATATCTAATTGCTGGAGCCCTACCTGAAGAGAAGTCTGGAAATATGTACCACGGGAAGGCATATAAACAGAGTGGGGATGGATGTTGTTTGCCCACCAACCTTATCCAGCCCAGCCAGTGTGGCTATAATACAGAGGCGGGGAGGGAGATGATGGTAGGAAATAAGGCTGGAGATCTCACACGGGGTCTGGTCAGCCATGTTTAGATTTTTTTTATTTCTTTAAGAAATGAGCCAGCTGAGCTGCATGAGTGAACTCGAGGGAACAAGTTACAGAGGCAAAAGAAGGGCCCTTGGAGCTTAGGAGAAAGAGAGAGGCAAAGAAGTGCTTGCCTGGGGGAAGGGGTTAGGGAAAGGAGAGAGAGAGAAAGAGAGAGAGACCTAAAAATTTGAGTCTAGGAATGATGAGAAGCCATTGAAGGATTTTTAAGCGAGGAGGTGACATGATCAGGGCTGTGTTTTTTAAATACCATTCAGGAGACATTGTAGAGAATGGGTCAGAGGGGAGCCCAAGTAGAAAGATGTCCAGTTTACCCAGATGAGAGATACGGGTAAATTGGACCTGGATGATGCAGATAGAGAAAAGCAGTCAGGGTAAAGATATATTTAGACATTTAAGTCAACAAGGTAGACATGGGCTGGGAAAGGGTAAGTACCATAATTGACTCCCAGGTTTCCTGCTTCTGCAATTGGAAAGATGGTGGGGCCATTTCCTGAGATGTAGAACAAAGGAGAAAATACCAACTTTGGGATGAAAGCCTTGAGTTTGTGTTGAGTTTGAGGTCTCCATAGAGGATGTCTCAGAGAAGGTGCGGAATAGGTGGTTCAATATGCACCGTCTTAAATTCTAAGAAAAGTACTGGGCTTGAGAAATAAACATACATGAGTCTTGTAACAATAGCTTTCACACTCTTTATCTACCCCCCACATTAATATGTACTTTTTACCTTGCAGCCATCAGAGACATGTATGCATGTGTGTGCTTATATATTAAAAAAAAAAACAATATGTAAACAATATATATCAGGGGTGGGAACGTCTGGCCCATGGGCCATATAAGGCTCAAGAAATAATTTGGTCTGGCCCTGCCAAGGTGAGTTAATTAAAGGTTTGACCAAATATAGCCAGCTAATTTTTAAGTTAATAATTTTATATGGCCCGCGAATTAGGTTATAAATCCAAATGGCCCTTGGCAGAAAAAAAGCTCCCCCACCCTTGAGATAGATATATATATATATATATATATATATATATATATATAATACTAACCTTGTGGGTAGTGCGCCCTGATTTTTTTTTTTAAATCCTAACCCCAGGACATGCTTAGAGGAGGAGGAGCAGGGGAGAGAAATATTGATGTGAGAGAAAAGCATTGATCTTGGTTGCCTTACGTACACTTGCCCATTAGGGATCAATCCCTCAACCCAGGCATGTAACCTGACTGGGAATCAAACCAGCAACTTTTCAGTGCAAGAGGTAGGACGATGCTTAACCACCTGAGCCAGTCTGGGTGGGTACCCTGATATTTTTTTTTATTCTATTGCTTCATTGTTTTTTTAAATACTTATATGACCCATTAAATTTATTTTACAATCTCCTAATGGGCCATGAGAGAAAGCAGAGGAGAGGAAAATTACAGCAACTTGGATTGTGCCTTAAGCAACTCTGTGTGAGAGTTCCCCCTGATGGAAAAGGGCATCGTGACAAACTCATAAGGGACAGCCAGGAAGGGAGAAGGAAAACAAAAGTGTACAGACTTCTAAACAGGGAGAGGAGTTACAAGTGGCAGGAATTAACTGTATTGAGTGCTGCAAGAGGTCAAGTAAAACTGACTGAGAAATGTCAAAGAATTGAAGAGTACCCATTGGATGGAGTAATGTAGAGGTTACTGGCGAGGGACTTTTTATTATTATTTTAAAATATATTTTATTGATTTTTTACAGAGAGGAAGGGAGAGGGATAGAGAGTTAGAAACATCGATGAGAGAGAAACATTGATCAGCTGCATCTTGCACACCCCCTACTGGGGATGTGCCCGCGACCAAGGTACATGCCCTTGACCGGAATCGAACCTGGGACCCTTTAGTCCGCAGGCCAAGGCTCTATCTACTGAGCCAAACCGGTTAGGGCAGCGAGGGCCTTTTAGAGTAGAATGATGGGAGCAGGAGACAGACTAAGGAACAACTAATCTTCCTAATTTTAGTCCATTCAACTCCTTTTACAGGAGGCTCCTGGGCTCCTTTGGGACCTCATGCTCAGCCAGAGTGCCGATTACATCTCTTCATGTCAAATGCAGGTATGGCAACCAGAAGAGTTCAGTATGGTGGAATAAGGAGTGGCGTAAGATGA